TTTATGAAGACGGACAGTAACAGCTCATAAAAATTATGTGATCTTATGCTATCCAAAGTTTTAGCATCGACAATCTTAAGAGAGCATTGACCGTAAAAGAACAAAATTACTGCTGAATGAACACAGTTTTAATTATAAGCTCCAATTACTTAAGGAATGCAGTTCGGGGCTTAGTAAAATTGAAGGACTGCTGTTAAGATCCTGAGCCGTCTCCTATAGGACCAGAGGTTAAGATCTCATAATTAGATGTTTTTACTGTGAGCAACAGTGAACTAAAATGCATATTGTTGAGGTCATCCGTGTGCGTGTGTTCAAAAGCGAGTGAATTTTGTTACCCACTTCCAACTCAGCAACCACGAAAGCTGGAAGGCTGAAATATTGGGGACTTATTTTCACCCTATGTATCATCCTTTTTTTTAAAGTCATCGCTCATACGCACCTAGATCTCGCGTACGGACCCGAGTAAATGTGCAAGTTTCTTTGGAGGGAAACGATTTTGAGAGCTAGACAGGATAGAAAGCTGAAACTTTGCAGTGATATTCTAAGTGTTTCTATAAGCTAAAAATTTCAAATTCAGCCATAGCGTGTACAGTTACGCCAAAGCTCGCATGTGGAATCGTGCTGACTAGAAAAATAGCCGGAAAACAGTGGCTGAAATTTTGTCAAATGTTTATCGTCCATATGGGAAACAGCATACGTAAACTGGGTTCCGATTTGCACTTGCGCCACGACTTAGGGCACTTTAGAGACATTTGTAGCGAAGTGGCTATTTTACTTGCCGGATAAGGTGTGGGGCTGAAACTTTACTGGGCTATTCTGCTTTCATGTATGGGCTTAATTCAGCTTGGAGGTGAAATTCCCTTCAGGTGGATATGAGAAATACTCAGTTTTATCGCAAACTCAAAAGCGAGTGCATTTTGCAGGTTTCATAATCTCTCTTGGCTTCCTACAAATTTACATCTTTTCAACGAACAAGCATTTATTGGGGAAGTGACCGGGCTTCATGCGACAAACTGGTAATCATGTACGCTGGAAGTTCATGCTGTCCTGTAATGCAGCATCCTCATTCCATCCGACGCCCTTTCCTTCTGCATGCGGGAAGAGGTCAAAACACAGCCATATGAGTCCTAGTGTTAAACCACAGTTTAGAGACCATTTCTGCTGTTAATGACCTGCAAGTTTAGCGTAAAAACGCATGGCTGCACTGGCAAATCTGGTACTTTCCAGCCTCGGTTTCAGTTGGCTAACGGTATGATCGGGAATCTGAAAGGTGACACACGAGACGGTCACTCACAGACAAATCATTCCACCAGTGCGTGTTTTTGCACTGACGCAAATGCAAAAAACGCGTTTTGGAAGGAATATGCATGCTTGCGTGTTTGTCTGTTTGCAAAAGCCAAAGAGCTGAAACTTTGAGAATATAGTCTCCAACCGTGCATGGAGTCAGTCCCGGAATTAATCTAAAACTATTTCACTGCTCTGAGCCGGCTATGACCGAGCTCAGTCATAAAGTCGAATCCTCCTTCACGTTCATTCTGTGGAACATAAGTCACTTGTGGGGTACGAATAGAAGCAAACGCCAGCAGTAGCCAAGCAGTAGCAAGACTGTCGACGTTACCCTCTTTCGAGGGTTCCTTAAAAGCAAGCTATTGGCAGGTGAACTTTGAATTTTATTGAGTTCAGAAGTAGGATTAATTTTACAGCTTCAAAGAGAGCAAGCTAATTTCAAAAATTCCGGAATTCTTCAAAGCAGTAGAATATTTAAATTTCAGCTTTGCCTACCGTTTCTTTTTTTTTTGATCTCATATCCAAACCGAGGCTAATTTTATAATTTCAAAAAAGCGCGATTCATAAGCTCGAAATTTCAAAGTAGTGTGTTTTAAAAAGACAAAATTTGGGCTGGATAATTTTCATTTCTCTTCAGATAGTACTGATCTGAAATCGGAACTATTTTCTCAAGCTTTAGCTGATTTTAAATACAAATACACGCTTGAGGATCATGCTTTTGAAGTTTCAGTCCAGAAATTTAAGTAGTCTTTCACATTCCAGAAACAAGACACATAAGTGAGTAAATATCCATGAGCTAACTGACGTGGTTTCGCCTAGAACTTCGTGTTTAAATTCGATAGGAGGAAAAATTTGCAAAATATGCCTACTCTTTATTTCCGGAACAAAGGTAAAAATAATATAAATTTTTGCTTGATACCACTTTTACGCTTACCTGCCACGTAGCAATAACGGGTGGACCCGGGACATGACAGTAATTTGTAATGCAAAAAGCAGGGTTACTTTTTGCGCTCATTGGCGAAATCACGAAGATTGTTCACGCCAAGCCATCGTAAGTGTAAATTGAGCATGTTCATTCCTCATTTTACTGGAAAGTGCCGATCAGTGAATCGGGGCGGGGTAATTAAGGAATAGCAATTATTGCTAAGTTGTCCACTTTCCGCAAAATAAACAGTGGAAAGAAATGGCTTGAAGCAAGCTATCTTCCCACGCATTATTTGTCTTGCTCTTAAGTCTACTGAGTTTTTTGCAGCGAAACTAGCCCATAAAACAACACATACATCCCCACGAACATGCGCCCACTTATGTTCTCTATTGCACCACACTTCGCGCCAATGAGTGTGTCTGCGCGCACAGTCCCATTGCCAAGACCAGCATCGGCGCCAGATGTATTCCACAGACATGACGAATGTCACACCACCGAATGTTAGTTTTGTTTAATACGGCCTAAATATCTTCGTTTCTTTGTTCTGTTTCTCGCTTTGTTCTAATTACGACACTATAACCGTCGTACTAAGTTCAGTTGTGCTGCCGAAAAGGAGTGCTGCTGACTAGGTTCAGTTGTGCTTGATGTATCGGAACATTCCTAGCCAGTTTCATTCTTAATTTTTCACTTTTTTTACAAGTTCTTTTTCCCTTCATTTTGGTTATCTGTTAGCCAATAATTCACAATTAGTGATTACTGATAGCACCATTTATTACTGTTCCAGTTATTATAGCGCATACCGAAGTAGGTACACCGGCCTATCAAAAATCAAAGCAAAAGTCAGCTCTCCCCCGCATTGACTTTCTCCCTCCCTTTTGGAAGGTGAAAGTACGCGGGAGTAACCCGAGTGATAGTAATTACCAATGCAGATACTTGCAACGCTGTCAATGAACCCTTACTACGACACTCGTAAGGTTCAGATGCTATAACAACCTCCATACTTGTCAATGAATGTCGGGCGTTTTACTTTTGCAGTTCACTGTTCGTCAGTATGGTTTATGCTACCTTCCTCCATTACCCTTTCTTTAGTACGACTATTCTTTTTTTGTCTCCTCAGTGTGCAGATTACTATATTCTTCTCTTATTCACAGGGGGAGTTCCTTTGGAAAGAAGCACGTTTTTTTTTTTCTAAAAAACAATGTTGTGTTTGTTTAGGACCGGCTTTACAGCAGTTTGTACCCACCCATCGTCGTATTTTTTCCTCACTAAAGTTATATATAGCGGAGTCCCAAGAAGTGCTGAGTTGCAGAAATACTGTGCAACCCGAATTTTCTTTGCTTGAGGAATCAGGGAAAAGTATTGTTTTTCAGCAATGAAATGTAGTACATCGCGAAAATCAACAACTTATTGTTTAAACACATTTGGAAATATCACAACTTTGACAAATAGCATCAAATGAAATGAGATCAACAGGTTTACCATACGCATCGTCAGTTTTGTATACAGAAGAAGCAAGCACTTAAATTTTTATCAGTAACTTTCGGAACTGAAAAGTTCTCATAAAAAATGAAAATTCTTCAAGTTCTGAAAGAAATTCGCTTTCAACAGCATCCTTTGATGGTCGAAAAGAATGGACACCGAGGCGCTTCACAAAAAAGAGGACAATAGAAGATTCTTGGAATAAAGGAAAAAAAAATGAGCGATGGATGGCAGTGAAAAGAACAAAATGTAGGAAAATCATGCTAAAGTGCGGTCGCTCACGAACTTATGTTGGAAAGGGTTCATTCGAGCAACAGGGTTAGCCGTCTCTTCCCGAAAGTAATAGAAAACGCAAAAGATTCAGTTTTCAACAACATACTCAGAATATGATCAAGGAAGTTTTTCCGGCAGACAAAGCCCCTATTTACAAGTGAGTACGGACCCGAAAAGCATCGAACAATTCATCTTCTCGTACGTACTATACATCATCTGGTTGCGAATACTCTGTGCAGCACGTCCTTTGATAGTGCTCGGCTTTTCATGGGACTTCCGCGATGAAGGCAATTTTGATGAGAAAATGGAACGCATGACGCTGATTAGCCAGTATTCTTCGTTACATATGTTTCGATAAGCTATTGCTTAGTTCAAAGGAATTCGATAAGCTACTGCTTAGTTCTTGACAATTTCAGCAAAGTCAGCAGCAAATCACCGGTTAGCGCACTTCTAAGCATGTTCGACAAGTCACTCAGGACCGAAGCATTAAATATTTTATATTCACTTTTTATCCTTATACTTATCCTTATTTTAACCATCCTTTTTCGGTCGCAGTACGACTTAAATGAGAGAAATTTGCAGGGCGAAGCTAGCTGATGGAGCAGTTGGAGTGGAACACCATCCTTGGTGACATCATTTTCGTACGATTCTTTCCACTAATGTGCAAAAATGACTCGTGGTTTTGATTGGGTTCTTGAGCTGCGATTTCGGAGAAGTACTTCTTTAAACCCGGAGAGATTGCTGTGACGAATTATCTTTTCACCAATCATGATGGAAACAGCTATTAACAAAAATTCTAAGTTCCCTCGCTGGTCACAGCAAAAAAAAGATATCAATTTCAAAAGCTGTCTTTATCGTTAAGTCCGATGATTTTTCAAAGATTCCGTCTCAGTTAATATCGAAATTCGATCTACAAAGCTGTTCTTCAAGTGTACTATGTTACATTTTAAATCAAAATTATTCGTGGCCCTAAGGATTCATTTCCACACTCAACTTCTGGCAGTGGTATTACACTGGGGAGTGAAAAAAAAAAAAACTATACATCAGTGACAGTGAGTCCTCGTGGCAGCACCAGCGGTCCGCCAGCCCTCAGTTCTTCCTGCGAATAATTGAGCACCGAGGAAATCGGCAAAGCACCATCGATTTTACAGACAGGTAGTTTTCGCAATGGTATCGGCGGTTTGCGCTTCTGTGGACTCGATCGCGCATTTACTGAAATTAGGGCTGAATTTAATTACTAACAGATTTATGCTTGCAGTTAGGAGAATGACATTCTTCATTGTACATGAAGTAAGAGAAAAACTTTGAAATTCAGTAAGCTCTACCAGCTTGCTAGATGTGCAAGATTTTGAAGAAAATGTTTAGTACAAGAGTGCTAACAGCTTGCTTGTAAGCAGCCCCTGAAAGAAACGTTAACCAATAAGTCTGCTAACGAGTGGTTGCTGTTGGCAATTGTCCCCACTCGGAAAAATCCCGAGTGTCTCCGTTTTTACTAGAGGGCGAATGCAGAAGGATTTTGGTTTTCACATGATAGAACAGTAAACCTGAACTGAGGTCGCCCTTAAGCACCTGTGGAAGATAGAAAAATATTTTCAAAAAGCACGAACTGTTGTGATATAAACTCCTACTGTTTTGGCGAAAAATCTGGTTAAAAAAGTAGAAAGACATACATGGTACAAGATCAATAATTTCTGGAGGCATAGGCTCCGTACCACTCTTTGCGGTTTTTAATTCCTCGAAAACAGGCAATCGAGTCGGTTGATGCTGCTGCTCTCCAGATACGTTCGGCTTCTGCTCAGCAGCAGCATGCACAGCCGTTCGAGCAGAGTCGAAAGGCTTCTTGCATGGCGATGATATGTCTTCTGTAAATATCAGACGTTTCGATAATGATAAAACGAGGTGAACAATCAATAATAAAAATAATTATTGACAAAAAAAAAAACAACTGTACAACAGTGCAACAGCGTTAAATGCGTCCAATTTGCATTTTTAGTGAACGATTGGTCATCGGAAATTACTCGTTTCTCTTCGTGCAAAGTTTACGGTAATCATGAGTGCTGGAAGTTTTGATTCCATAGCTCATAATGCAACTCTACCACCTCAGTTGACACTCTCTGAAGATAAGATGTGAAGTTTGAATTTCAGCTGCACCACTTGAATATTGCAGCTACACATGGACTGCAGCTACACATTTTAAACTTCTTTGAAGTCTCTGGTATACAGCTACTGAACTTCAAGTCCCATGTACTCTATATAAGATCTAGTTGGTTTTATGCCTCCACCGGCGCTACGCCTGCAAAATTCGACTTTTCAGGTTCAGCAGTTAAATTGATTTTTCGCAACATAAATACGTATATACATTCATAAATGTGTACAGCAAAATGGCCTCAAGTAAGTGCGTTTCTGTATTTGTACATGTAAATAAACTAGGAAAACTCATGGAAACTACCCGCAGAACTGGATTTAATAGCACGATGCGCTGAAACGCGGCATTTTCAAGCGATTCGTTTGCTACCTGCTGTTGGCTCATCCTTATTACTTCCCATACAGAAAGACAGTTGAAACAATAGAGTAGGAAATAGGCGACCAGCCTAAATATCGTGTGCAAAACAAGTTTGGATGCATTCTGTGTTTCGTCCCTTAGCTGTAAACACAGATCGAGCACGGCATGTTTTTTAGCTCATTACCTCAAGTTGGGAATTATGGATTGAAATAAAGGCGTGAAGGTTCGTAGGAAGCATACCAGAAGGTGAAAGTGGCAAATGCAAGTCTGCTACCATCGATGTCACGGACACTGTGCTCACTGATACACTGTCCATCAATACCGCCTTGCACTGACATTTCGGACAGTTCGGATCTGAACGCTCTTCTAGATACGTCTGTAGACACCTGAAATGAAACTCCCTTTGCCGCTGTATTACTTGGGGTATCGCAAGAAAAACACTTTGAGGTGACCCAGTGTTTGTCTTCTGTAAATCATGATTTTTTGTGCACGATAATATTTGTAGTATCAGTGGAGCGGTACCAGTGAAAGCCCACGCTGGAACACACCAGAATTGCTGGGCGGTCATACGTTTTCTCACTAATCTCGCAGATCGCTAATAGCAGGAATGATCTCTACGCTGTAGCCTAACACTTGGACTCATACTGACCATGCTTTGGCCTCTTCCGACATGCAGGAGAAAGGGCGTCGGGTAGGATGAAGGTGTTGCATATAGGGCCACATGGACCTCCAAATACATGATTACCAGTTTTTTGCATGAAGCCCGGTCATTTTTTATGCGTTTTTGCCGTGCAGCGCTAGAGCGCTGCAACAGGCAGCAAAAACGCATATTG